ATGACTACACTTAAAAAGCTCTTCTTATACTACTACTTACATCGAAAGACTATTGTCACGCCCCGCTTCCCAAAATACCGGGAATTGGAACGTGAACAAGCCCGTGACGTATTAGATTGAGAAGAAATATACACTATCATTTTTTTTCTCTTTTCTTTTCTTCTCAACCTAATACGCTAAGCGTCTAGAAACAATACAATACAAAGGCACAGGTCCCCGATCACAATCAGCAAGAATATAATAGACAAACTCAGAATAAAGAATATCATATCACAATGGGATATCATCCAAGACATAAAAATACGGGTCAAACATGCCCTTATACAAATCTGAACAAATGAATACTGAAGAGATACAAAATACACTGATAAATTAGAAATGGAAGGTATACAAAAGAAAACGGATAACCAATAACTAAGCTTCAGCTTCTTCTGCTCCGTCTGCAGAGCACTCCTGCTGAGAATCCTCTGGCTTCTGATGAACTCCCAGCTGAACCTGTTCTTCTTCTAAGTCTGACGTACACTAGAGAAAACAGGTGTACGTCAGGGTGCATGACACACGGCAAGACCCCACAAAAGAAAAGAACGAACGAAAATCTAAAGCGGAAAACGATACGATAATAGAAACGACAAAAGAACGTGCAACTGGAAATTCTACAAAATCAATCAAGTAACAAGTCGATCATGCAACTAGCGATCAGAACAATCATCCAACTAATAAGGTCACAACTAGATGGAATTAATACTTAAAAATCTACAACAAGAGACGTAGTACGTCGAGCAAAATAATCCAAACAAGGAAACCCTCATGTATATACCATATGTCTCAAATTATAGATAATTAAATATTAATCACGATCTATGTATGAAAAGAAACTCAACTGGCCTACATCTCCCAAGAAATCATACCTAGCCAAGAAACGAGGTCATGTAACTAGCCATTCTATAGCAGGTCACTGGTCACTTATCACTTCTCACACAGAGTCAACGCTCCTGTCATCGGATACTGACTGTTCACAAATTCCCTACGTGCATCCAATCCCGCTACACATGCGGCCTAGAGGACTACACGTAAACCGTTTTCTTCCTGGTTCGAACTTCAAACAGAACCCGAGTGACGAAACGATTTCACTGACTAAAGTGATGTACACACTTCACTTTAGCCCTACAAACCAACCCCGGTGGCGACACCAACCACGGGAGCGAGCCTGGAAGATACATGATCACATGAACATTAACTTCCTCATCCCAACTCTTCTTGTTTTTCTAAAATAACACGACACATGTCTCTAGGTCACACAAGACTACTACGGTCATGACTACTAATGGTTCTCAAACACAACCAGAAATAACGAACATGAATGATCATGTATGATAATATCAAGGCATATCACATAATTAAAAGAATGATTCATTACAATATATATATATATATATATATATATATATATCGATCGAAAAGGAGATATACACGCTACACGAGGAAGCGATCCAAGAAAATGAAATATAGAAAATAATCACAAGTACAATGACGTCACAAAAGAGGAATCCTACAACGTCAACAGAGAAGAAAACTCAGGTTTAGTTCAATTGAAGGTAGGTCGACGCAGGAAACGAGAAAGCTACTTCGGGTCTAATTTTGAATAACGGAGCAATAGAATGAAAGAAAGAGACAAAACGAATCATCCTAGCCATAGAGGAGGTCAAATCGGGGTTGTTAATAAATCATGACGTTAATCTCCCCTCCCTATTTTAGTGAAAACGGCAAAATTGCCTACAAGGATATAGTCGGTTCATCTCCACAATTTGGAGAAAAATCAAGGCGTATAGCCGACACAGGAATGAAAACAAATACATAGGCACGAAGGTCATCCACCACAATGATACACAACCACAAATGAGTCAATGATTACAATACAAGGCCATCAATAATATACACGGCCGACGCTTATTTATACAAAGCCGCAAATAATAATATATTTACCGGCAGTGAATTTGCAAAGCAAACCTGTACGAGATTCTAAGCTAGTGCATAAGTGAGTACGATAAGGATATGATATCAGTCAATTGCACGAATCAAATGAGTAATCATATGACAGAATATAATTACGAGTATCAATATGACATGAGCATGACTATACAAGCTAACGATGAATCAGAAATGCATATATAACATGAGTGAGTATAAATAAGAGTGTCAACATGTTGATGGCAAGGTACATAAAATGTCATTTCTACAACTATCAATTACACAGTCATAAACTATTAATTCAAAAATAATTATTTTCCAAATTAAACTCTTTTCCAAAATAAATTCTTTTAAATTATTTATAATTATTCTAAAATAATTATTTTGTCAAATAAATTCTATTAACTTATTATAATTACTCTAAAATGATTTTTCACCAAAATAATAATTATTTTAAATTGATTATTTTGTCAATAAATTCTTTAAAATTATAAATTAATCTAAAATAATTTTATTTTATTTTATATTTATAGTATCTATTATCATAATATTATTTTTAATATCATTCGTCAAATAAATCCGTGCAGGTCATCACAGTATATGTATTATAGCGTGAATGGTCATACGTTATTGTCCACAGTCCATTTCGTCATAGCAGTTCTATACATTATAGTTCTCGATCCACTATGTTCATGACAGATCTATATTTATAACGAGTAATTATTCGGGTAACGAGTTCGTATGCATAATTAATCTGTGATTAATCTAAAAATGTACTGAGCAAGAATAGGGATCTTGCAAGCAGCTGATTAATTCAAAGCGGTCTAAGGATTGAATGATAAGTCAAAAGAGTATCGGGATCTTGCCTCGGGGTTTTTGTCGATCGAATCGACGTTGACGGTGCGGGTCGAATCTGACGCGGGTCTGAAGAGCGTCGGTCGGAACTCCGGCGAGGGCTGCGGGATCTCGGCGACGGGGCAGCGGGTCGCGCCTGATCATGCCAATGGGCAACGAGTTGTGCGTGGTTTGCGAGAAGGAGGGCCGGTGAGCGAAGGGGGCAGCTTGAGGATCTCGGCCGGGAAAGAGAGCGGCGGCTGCCGGACGATGGCGCGGCTGGCAGGCTGGGGTGACCCGTCGACGGCGAGCTCCAACCGGCGGCGCGCCTGCGCGGGTTTGCAGTCGGTGTGTGGATGCAGGAGGTGCTGGGCCCGATGCTGGGGGGACTGGGCGAACGCGGTGGCTAGCCGAGGGGCATGACGTTCGCGACAAAGCGGGTGTTTCAACGGCTGGACGCGGTGGGGAAGAGATCTGGAGCGGAGAGGAGCTCGAGCTCGGTCGACGGCGCATTCGAGCGCGGCGTCAGGTTCCGGAGCGCAGGGCGGCGTAAGGGGAGAACGGTGAGGAGGCGCGACGGCTGGAGGGTTGATGAAGGGAGAGCACGACGGCACAGGAGGACGAGGAGGTCGGAGTGGCTGGTCGGGTTCAGGCGCTGGCCGACGGAGAGTTTGGGTGCAGGGAAGGAATAGAGAGAGAGAATGAGAGAGAGTGAGCTGATGGGAGAGGATGAGAGAGAAAAAGAAGAGAGAGGGTGAGCACAAGAAAATAGAGAGGCAGGGTTTAAATAAAAAGTTTTAATAATAAAAAATTTAAGATATGATTGGTGAGAAACCAGGAGCGGCGTAGTCTAAGTTTACGGTGCGCGTGGGCAGCCGTTTTCTTAGAAAAATTTGAGGAGGGAGAGAACGTGACGAGGGGGATGGTTGTTTGGGTTTGAAGGGAAGCAAAATTTTGGATTATTTTCAAATGGGTTCAGGTATTTAGATAAAAATAATTAAAATAAATAATTTCGGTTACTTAAAAATTAAACTAATTACATAATAATTATCTATAAATAAAAACATACATGTTGAGCTAATACAACAGTTGATACGAAATAGTCGAAATATACACATATTGTATAATTAAACGAGAATAAATAATAATAAAAATATATTTACTTACATTTAAAATCAAATAATTATGTGACAATTATCTACACGATAAAACGTACCAGTTATGCTAATACGACAGCTGATACGTAATAATTAAAATAATACAATAATTTACATAAATAATACGTAACTAATAATTCAACATAATACAAGAATTAATGCGTAATAGTAATAATAATACGACGTATTATTTAAAATAATATGTAATAGTATCAGTAACACAACGGATAAATCCCAAAAATTTTCATTGTACTAAATTAATTTATAAATATCAAAACTATTTAAATAAATATAAAACTTAGACTTTAAATCATAGAAAATTTCTAGAAAATCGAGAAAAATACAAATACTCTTTTAAAAATCATAATTAAATATTTTAAAATACCAAAAATTTATTTTAACTAGTATCAAAATTTTACGGTCATTACAACTATTTTGTCCAAAATGATTCTCCACTTTCATAGCAATTCAAGTAGAAGGATCTCACACTTTGTGTGTAATAGAATAAGGGGCAGTTTGGTTTACTTATTTTATGAAAACGTTTTATGAATATGCCTAACAATAGCATTTTTGTAAACAATAGTTTTCTGTAGGTGTCTTTAAACACTGTTTGGTTCAATCAGATTTTAATAAAAATATTTTTCTATAAAGTAGTGAAAATGAGGATATTTTATAGAAATCATTTTCCTCTCCATACGGATGAAAATTGCTTAGAGATCTAACGCATTGAATTAAATAATAATTTTCGTACAAAACTTATACATTTCCACTCCTGAGCCCATTTTCTATAAATTTGATTTTCTTTTTTTCATATTTTGAACCAAATAAAGAAAAAATAAAATATAAGAAAACATCACTTTTGAATTTCTGTTAACTTTTCATACAAGTTTTTATAGAAGTATATGGAAATCAAATTTTAAGTACTTTTTCTTTTCTTTTCGTTTCCTTTTTAATAGAAATGGAACCAAACAACCCAGCCCTTAAAAGAGTAATTTGGTGTGTAGCTCATGTGAAAATAATTTCATAACTTGAAGAACCAAATAGTACAAAAGGACAAAGCCTGCACTCGATACGCTTTCAAACATAAACCGATTTATATCCAATAGCAAGAACAAAAGGGCATAAGGGCAAAAGGAAAAGCCAGTACGTTCCTATTAAAAAATTCTTCCTTAAAACCTTCCATCAACTGAAACCTCAATACGCTAACCATCTACAAAGACAATCAAGGTTCAAAAGCAAAGAATAGAGAAATGAAAATCCCAACTAAAACACATCTCCATTCTCCTTCTCTTCACCTAGCTTGAGGCAAGTCCCTTGGGTTTGGAGGAACACTATCCTGGGTATTGTGATACATGCTTCCCATTGTATTCCTCTTTAAAGATCCAGCGTTCATAATATTACTCCCAATACCCCATTCTTTAAGTACTTGAGGCAAACTCTTACTGGTTTCAATTCCATATTCATCATCTAGATTCTGACTAGGCTTCCATTTCTCAGCAAGCGGACATAGGATGCTGACAACATGGCTCATATCGGGCCTTTGTTGAGGGTCTCGAGCACAACAGTGGAAAGCAAGATCAGATACAATGTTAACACTCAGGGATATCTCGTCATCATTAAGGTCGATTGCAGGGTCAAGGGCTTTGGTAAACTCGCTGTTGATCTGCATTTTCCTAAACCAAGTGATGAGATGAGTGCTATCAGATGGTCGGCTCTGATCAAGAGCCTTTCGGCCTGTGATTAGCTCCATTAGGATTACTCCGAAGCTGAAGACATCAGATTTAGTTGTTACACGCCCCATTTCTGCCCACGATATGACAAAGGCTATTGTCAGTGATTGAAGAAAAATGTATAGAAAGCTATACTATAAGCAAAGATCAAACAATTTAAAGGTTAACGTTCTAGACTTTAGCAATTAATGAACAGAGGTCTGTACGTTTTTCATGAAGCAATCTCGATGTAAGAACAAAGAACACAAGCTTATTGGGAAATGGTTTCATATACTTGAGAAAAGATGAATAGGGTCCCCTAACTTAGATTTCATATTACATCATTTGTACACAAGAAATAAAGAGCAAAGAAGCTTGAATGCTTATTGTCTTTGGTTCTAAACATCAGAGTAGATAAATTGGTTCTGTAAGATTTACAGAAGAATGGTAATAATTCATGTTCACTTGAAATACAATGGCAGTATTCGCATTGGCTAACTCTAATTAAGTTAAACTAAAGGTCAAAACTGAACCATTAATGGTTAACTGCACGCCAACAAATTCATAACTTACGTTATATTGAAATACCGTAAACTATATTGTAATGCTATAGAGTTACAACATGTTTGTGCCATTTCCCTCTCACCATCTGCTAGTAACACCTAAGGTATTAATTCCATTCAGGTTTATGAAGTCTGTAATACAAATTCTCAGCAACTCATCTTAAGGACCCCTCAAGTCATCAAATCCATAAAAGTGAGAAAATCAAGAGTCGGCTCTCTCTTGTAGCCGCCCTCTCTAGGGTTTTCAAAACCCTAGTTTTCAGTCGGCTCCCTCTCTTGTAGCCGCCCCCTCTCTAGGGTTTTGAAAACCCTAAATCTCAGTCCGTTCCTTTTCCTCTCTGGAAGCGTGTAACGCTTCTCTTCCCCTCCCTCGTGACGGATCTCCATCGACACGACCGTCTTTTTTTATTTTATTTTTTTAGCCGGTTTCTACAATCTTTGTGAGGCTCGGCCCTTCCTGTCTCACTCTGATAGTTTTGCGACGAATTATTTGGCGAGATCTGAGTCTCGTCCCCAACTCTCACGGCAGTCTTCGGGGTTTCCCACATCTCAGCCTCCGAGGTAGCTGTCTCTCAGCTCACACGAACGGCATCGATGTTTCATAATTAATTAACGGCATCGTCGTTTCATATTTATTTAACGGTATCGCCGTTTCATATTCAATTAACGGCATCGCCGTTTCAGGACCGCCTTTCGGTCTCCAATTAACAGCATTGTCGTTAAAGCCGTCTCTCATATTCAAATTAACGGCAACGTCGTTTTAAGACCGTCTATCGGTCTCATATTAACGGCATCACCATTTCAAACAGCCTCTTGGCTCCAAATCAATTTGGAACATGACGAGAATTGATGATGATGGGCTGGTCGAGTTTTGTGCCAAATCCAGCTTAGACGACGAAGATGACCCTGTTTTTCTGTCAACTAAGGACCGGACAGATTCGCCTTTCCTTAACAACTGTCTCTTGGGGAAGGTTTTTGGTAGGAAGATTGCTAATAGAGATGGTCTTAAGCGTGTCCTTAAGAAGGTATAGATTGTAGATGCCTCCTTCTAGGTGGAACATTACAGTGGAAGGAATACTTTCCTTTTTAAATTCGGTTCCGATGTGGATAGGGAGAAAGTGCTTGATGGTGGGCCATGGTGTTTTGAAAGGAACTTGCTCAATTTGATTATTCCTCGTGAGGTCGATGTCCTAACTTCTCTGAATTTCTCTTCAACTTTATTTTGGGTAAACGTTAAGAATGTACCACTGGCTATGATGAACGAGAGGTGCGTCAGGGACTATGGGTCGCTTATAGGAGAACTTAAAGGAATTGATTTGCGGGATAACAAGATGCGGCTGAGAATTCTTGTGCATATTACTAAGCCTCTAAAAAGAGGCGTACGTGTTTGCTTTGAAGAGACAGGGGAGATTGAGAAGCTCTTCCTCCCTTATGAGAGACTTCCTGACTTTTGCTTTTCATGTGGCATTATTGACCATAAAGCTGCTGAGTGTGACAAACGAAATGTACAATTCGATGGTATTTTTATCACATCCAAAAGTAGATATGGTTCTTAGCTCAGAGAACCCCCTCCACCTTTTAAGGCCTTTGAGATTCGGTCTTCTGGAGCAACTGGAGCAGATCGTAGGGGAAAGAAACAACCATCATCTCGGGTGGTCTCAGATGATACTCGTGATGATGATTCACATGATAGTGCTCCACTACGGATCATTCCAGTCACGGTGAGGTGTGAAACCCCTCCTATACCATTGCCCATGGATACTGGTGTTGACTCTGATTTGCATGATGTTACAATTTCCACATCCACCTCTGGAAAGCGGGCTATATCGACCTGGAAGAGATTTGCTAGAGGGTCTGGGCAGCAGGGCTCCAAACAGAAAGAGAAAAGAGGCAAACGTAAGAAAGATTCTCTGAAGGATCCTCAGAATGTACATGAGAAGAGGGCACGATTAGTAATTTTCAGTCCAAATTCTACTCTTGTTGAGGCGCACCCTGATGGCCAGGGGCGTCAGGAGCCATGAGTTGCTTTTCTTGGAACGTTCAGGGACTGGGGAACCCTGAAACATTGACTGTTTTTCGCAGATTGATGCAGACTCATTCCCTAAGTCAAGTTTTTTTTCGGAGACTAGACTTTCTGGTAGGTGGGCGCAGATAATGAGATCTTAATTGGGTTTCCAGAATTACTTTGTGGTGGATAGTAAAGACAGAAGTGGTGAACTCGTGTTACTATGGGGCAATGAAATGGATGTGACTATTCGTTCTTTTTCTTCGGTGCACATTGATGCATCAGTTGTTGACTCAGCGAGAAGGAACTGGCAATTCACCGGGTTTTATGGTCATTCTCAGAAACACTTACGGTACCAGTCCTGGGATCTATTGAGATGGTTGAGGGGTCTTTCCTCTGAGCCATGATTATGTAGAGGTGACTTTAATGCTATCACGACCCCAGAGGAGAAGATGGGTAGTAGACAGGCGCATGTTTCGAGAATGCTAGATTTTCAGAATGTTCTGTTGTATTATGAGCTACTTGATCTGGGGTATTGCGGGTACACATTCACTTGGAATAATCGTCAGACTGGTACATCTCATATCCAGGAGCGCTTGGACAGGATGGTAGCTGACTATGGCTGGCATGACATATTTCCCATTGCTGAGGTACACCACTTGGATTTCTCTGTTTCTGACCATCGTCTTATTATGTTATATTTTGCTGCTCCTCGTCCCCTTCTAGTTAGGCATGATCGTCCCTTCCGCTTTGAAGCTTTCTAGCTCAAAGATGATGATTTGAGTTATGTATTAGCAGGGTTTGGCCTAGGATCTCTACACAACAGGGTCTATGTGAATCAGTTTGTCAGAAGCTAGAGTCTTGTGCTACAAATCTCAGTAGCAAAGAGCGTTTTGATAGATGGAGGCACATATTATCAGTTATTCAGCGAAAGCTCCAGTCTCTTTACTTTTCTCCTGATGTGGGGATCGTATGACTGAGATCCGAAGACTTGAGAAGGAGAGGAAGGTTCTTGAGTATAGGGAAGAGAGCTTCTGGCGACATCGAGCTAGGGTTGATTGGCTCCGAGATGGGAACTGTAACACCAAATTCTTCCATATTAGAGCTTCCATTAGGAGGAGGAAGAACTTTATTAGCCGTCTACGTCATCCTAATGGCACTTGAGTGGAGGATCATGTAGGAATTACAACGTTTATTGAGGAGTATTTCTCAGAACTATTTTCTTCTTCCACTCCTTCAGAGGAGGTTTTGGCTGAGGTGGGTGGTGCTATCTCTTCTAAGATTTCAGTGGATGACATCCGAATCATTTCTGAGCCTTTTACAGGTGATGAGGTATAGGGTGCTCTTCGATCTATAGGCCCTTCTATGCATCCTTTTTTCAATTCCAGTGGTCTGTTATTGGCCCAGGTATTTCGGCTGCATGTTTGAAGATTTTAAATGGGGGTTCGTCTATCAGATCTTAGAATAAAACTAATGTGGTTCTTATCCCCAAAAAGGATTCATCTGAGACTGTGACAGGTTTTAGACCCATTGATCTATATAATGTGGTCTACAAGATTGTCATGAAAACCATTGCTAATAGGTTAAAGCAAGTTCTTAGCGAATTGATCGGATGCTTTCAAAGTGTCTGATCGGATGCTTTCAGAGTGCCTTTGTCCCAGGGAGATCAATTCAGGATAATATCATTGTTGCTTTTGAACTTCTCCACACATTGCAAAAAAGGAGACGGGGTCAGTCCGGCCATATGTCACTAAAATTTGATAAGAGTAAAGCATATGATAGAGTGGAATGGGGGTTTATTGACAAGGTCCTTCAGGTCATGGGATTTTCAGATCATTGGGGGCATCTCATCCTGAACTGTATCTCTGCTTCCTCTCTTTCTGCCTCAATGGGCAGATTGTGGGTCAGGTCACTCCTACTCGTGGTCTGCGATAAGGATGCCTACTATCTTTATATTTGTTTCTTCTCTGTACGGAAGCTCTCTCGGTACTGATCATCAGACAGGAGGAGAATGGGTGCATCACAGGGTTATCTTGTTCCCGATCGGGACCAAGGATTTCTCACTTATTTTTTGTAGATGATTTTTTGGTTTTTATTCAGGCTTCCTAGGTCGCTGCACAGACTGTCTAGAGTACTCTGCTACTATATGAGGCTACAATCGGTCAGAAAATAAACTTTCAGAAGTCAACCATCACCTTTAACCCCTATGTAGATGATGATACTAGGGCCTCTATTTTCTCTTTCTTGGGGCTTGATAGGGTCCAGTCACATGATCGATACTTAGGCCTCCCTTTGGTGGTTGGAAAAAACCATCGTCAGACTTTTGCTTTAATCAGAGACTCGGTTTGAAAAAGAGTCCAAGCTTAGAGGATGGTTCTTTTCTCAGCTGGTGGGCGAGAGGTTATGGTGAAAGCTGTTTTGTAAGCGATCACATGCTATGTGCTGAGTATCTTTCGCATTCTAATTTCTTTGTACAGGGAGATTGAGTCTATCATTATGAGATTCTGGTGGAGATCAACCTCTGGT